CCACCGACACTAAAATCATCCATGAATGCTTCAATGTCTTTTTTAATAATCTAGAAGAAAGTAGAAGTCATGCATCGTTGGAAAATTGAAGGAGAATTGCATAACCCGAATGACATTCTTCGTTACGCAAATGTTCCATATGGACATGTTAAAGTAGTTTTCTCTTGATCACTTTAATGGATAGGTGTTTGGAAAAATCCAGAGTACCCATCCAAGAAATAAAAGAAAACATTGTGAGAAATTCTTTCAAACATTTGGTCCATGAATAGGAAAAGAAAATGGTCCTTCTTTGTATTTGTGTTCAATCTCCTATAATCAGTACACATCTTCCCCGAGTCACCATCCTGGTGGAGATTTCCTCTTCTCCACTTTTGATGATGGTTATTACACCCTTTTTTGGAACTAAATGAACCTAGATAACCCACTTGCGATCAAGGGTATCATAAATAATGCCCGCTTCACATAGTTTTAAAATCTCTTTCTTGACAGCCTCTTGGAGGTTGGGGTTAAACCCTTTTTGAGGTTGAATGGAGGTGGATTGATCATCTTCAAGAAGAATACGATGCATGCACAAAGAAGGGATAATAAACTTGATATAATCAATGCTATACTCTATCACATCTTTATATTTTCTCAAAACATCAAGCAATTTTTCCAAATCAAGTAAACAAGGGCAACATTGACAGTAATAGGGTATTTTCCCTCATTATAAAGATAAGCATATTTCAAAGAAGAGGGAAGAGGCTTGTGTTCTACCTTAGAAGTAGGTTTAGAACTCTCCTCTAATTTCTCATCTTCATGCTCAAGCTCGATCTCCTCTTATTGTTCCACCTTTTCCTCCTGTGAGGTGTCTTCCATAGCCATAACAAATTCTCTTGCCTCTTGAGAATGGAACTCTTCCTTGCATGTAAGAGCTTTAATCATTGGAACTTGAGGCTTCATCATTACCCTCCCTAAGCGATCCAACACCTCATTAACTACATCAACTCGATAACATTTCTTAACCATGAGGGTCTTGAGTAATTTGGAGAACTCAAAGACAATCTTCTCATCGACCACCTCACATGTAATAGTATTGTTCTTGCAATTGATGACCGCCCCCAAGGTTTTGAGAGCTTCTTAACCCAAGATTAAAGGAGTATCAACATCTTCCTCCATATCCATCACTACAAAATCACATGGCATATAGATATGCCCAACTTAAATTGGAACATCCTCAAGTTCACAACAAGGAAGTTTGACCGAGCGGTCGGCTACTTGAATTGTTTTTCTTGTGGGAATCATTTAAATGTTGAGTTTTTGTGCAATGGAGAGGGTAATTAAGCTAACACTTGCTCCTAAATCCGCCAAGGAACCACTAAGTTCCATGTTACTGATCTTAACAGGTAAAGTAAAGCCTCCCGGGTCCTTCTCTTTCTGTGTCATCTTGTGTTGAAAGAGTGCACTAACTAGATGATGGCGAGTAATGAGCTCATCATTGAGATTCCTCTTGTTGGTTAACATGTCTTTGAGAAATTAGGAGTAAGAAGGCATTTGGGGTAACAACCTCGATGAAAGGGAGACATATGTGTAAGTTCTTCATTAAACTACGGAATTTTGCAAATTTATCATCAACTTTCTCTCTGCAAGCCTCCCAGGAAAAGGAACCGGCTCATCTAGATTCCTAGTATCACTAGGACTTGAAGTTTTTTTTCTCATCATTAGGCTTCTTCATCTCCAAATTCTATTCTTTCCCAATAACCTTGTCTTCTTCAACTCTCTTCTCTCCCTTCACACCTTCTTCTCGTCCCTTTCTTTCCCTCACTTTCTCCCTATTTTTGTCCTTCATAGGATGTGCCCAATCTTAATGTGATTGTATTGCAAGAGTCTGGTTTAATTTTATTAGAGGTGATTGCTTGTGGTTGTCCGGTAAAGTAGAAGGTGAGTTGAAAGGTACTTGATGCAAAACATCAAGCCTCTTCATATCTTTAGTTGCTTATTAATCTTTAATTGCTTATATAGGTTTTGCCCCAAGGTTTTGGGATCCACTTGGATTTGTTTTACTTGGTTTGGCCTAGTTTATTTTTATGTTTTTAATGTTTATTAAGATTTCTTAAGTTAGTTAGTTTGTTTTGATAGTTTTAAAATCTGATTTGTTTCCTAAATTAAATAGGTTGCTTGCAAGGCAAGGTTAGTTAGGTTTCTTGGAGGCTAAGATTAGGGGCTTGTCCTAATCATCTTAGGACTCTTAGGGGCTGATTAACCTCTATAAATAGAGGGAATTTCGTGGGTTTTAGACACACAATTTTTTGATTAATAAAAACTTGGCGTTTTTCTTAATTGCTTTACTTCATGCGTGAGTTTTCTTACGTACTTGCTTAATAATCAATTCAGGAGGTGAGTTGAAGATTAAGAGGTTGAAAACTTAGTTCCAGGAGGTGGTCTAAGGGATTTAACGATTCAAACAGTTCGTTCTAGGAGGTAGTCAAATTCTATTGAAATATCGGTTCGTTTCATCACACCTTACGCGTCAATAATCAATAATTCTTTAAGAAAGCGTTAAAGATCGAATCTTTCTTTCAAGATTGTGAGATTTCTAAACTTGAGTAAACAAGGGGTTAGGATCCACATCAGTAATCTTTCGGCTAATTGGGCTAATTGTGAATCAACCATATTTTTATGAGCTTTGACCTCTTGTATTGGTTGATTCATGGCTTGGAGTATTTGAACATTTTGGGTTTGTGTGGAATCGGATTGAGATTCATGATCTTGACTCAATTAAGTAGACCCTTGATTTTGGTTGTTATATTAAATCTGATTGTTGTATTGGTTGTACCTTGGGTAGTTTCCTTTCGGACTTTGGTTTTGAGGCGGAGGTGGGTTTTGGTATTGATGGTTGGAATTGTATGATGGTTGAGCTTGTTTCCCCCATTGGTGAGGTGAAGGTGCAAATCCGAGTGGTGGTTGTCTCTAAGCTACTACTCTGCCACTTCCCCTACATCCATCTTTCCTTGTGTTGTAAGAAGACATATGCTCGGGGCTCAAACCCCCACAATGAGAAGTATAATGGTTTGTGACACCACAATTTTTTAATGAGAAAGAATTGACTTGAGAAGAGCTTGCCCCATTATTAAAACTTGTGTTCAACTTTGCCGGCCCATTGGTCAAAAGCTCAATTTGATGTTGCAATTGATCAACCTTATCTAATTCATACATCCCACCTTTGTTCGATGCATCCCTCCTTTTACTACCTCAAAAGTAGTTCTTCGCTAATTTTTCGATTATTGCTTCGACTTGGTTTGGGGGATCTTAATCAATTGTCCACCTGCCTGACGAGGGGTGGAACTAGATTGTTGAAACTAATCCTACCTCGATCAAACTAAATTTATAAACACTTAACCAACCTAAATATTAGTATAGAGGTAAGTCAAGGATCGAACACAAAGGAACGGTAATGTTCAAGCGCTCTCAATTTTGCGCTTAAGCTAGGTCAAAGTTTAAGGATAAAGAGGGAACACTAACCAACTACCAAATAAAGAAACCAAACAATTAAACACTAGGAACGAGGATTAACTAGTAATCATGACAATTGTAGCAACTCGGGAACAATATGCAAACCAATGGTTCTGAAGACTAATGGCAAGCTCAATCAAAAGAGTAAAAAAAGCTATCTCATAGAGGTCAAACTAGCGCCAACTACGAGAGACTCTAACTAGGAGCATCACTAATCAAACTCAATCGACAATTGCAATTCCTAAATCAATGGTCCGTATCATTAGAAACTACAATGCAATCTAGCATAATTCTCAAGGCCTAATCGAATTACACACATGTAAACTTCCATTAATCACTTTAGTCTCAACAATTAATCAACACAATCCCCAAATTAAGCACAATCAATCAATCATACAAGTTTCATCCTATCCCTAGCCAAACAACTACTCTAACATCATTATCAAATCAACTAACAACTAAAGAAATCAAGAATCAACAATATATGAAGAACAACAACACTAATCAAGCATCAAACATCAAAATCAATCCAAACAAACATGAATATTAAACAAAGAAATATAATGAGATAGAGTTAGAAATGCTCATTGATAATAGAGAAGATCTCCAACACAATTATCACCATTGAATCTTCAATCTCTCAATCACCATTGAAATTCCTCACTTTCTCTATCTAGAATCTACTCCTAAACTAACCCTAAAACTAGAGAGAGAAGCTCTCAACTAAGCTAAGAATATGATAAAAAACTAGAATAATAATTTATCTCTACTTACCCCCAAAATCGGGTTACAATGATATTTATAGAGGGCGTAAAAAAAAAAAACCGAGCAAGCAAATACAAGGAAGGTGCGCTCGCGCTGCAGTGGTGGCGCGCTCGTGCTGTAGTGGTGGCGCGCCCGCGCTGCAGGAGTGGAGTGCGCTTTGCGCGCCCGCGTCTTGCTGGGTTTCTTCGATCTTTTCACGGCTTCGTGCGTTCGCTAAGGTCGCACGATTATGATGATGATGAACACTAAGAGAGGCAGTCCCAAAAGCACTTGATTGTAGGTTCAACACCCCATCTTCATGAGAGCACGCTTGAGAGCGCAAGAGCTAGAACTTGGAGAATCCACTTCCACTACTACATAAAAGGCCAAGGAGACCCGTTTAAAAAGGCCAAAGAGACTGCTTTAGAGGCGCTCTCTAGCTCAGCGGTCACTCTGGCAAAGAGACTGGTTGATTAGAGGCGGTCTCTACAATGAAAAAACAGAGACCGCCTATCTAAGATAAATGGTCTCATTTTTTTGAAAATTGGGACCGCCTATCTAACATAGGCAGTCTCTTTTTTTAGAAATCTGAGACCACCTATTTAAGGTAGGCAGTCTTTTTTTTTCAAAAACTAAGACTGATTATTTAAATCAACCGGTCTCTTTAGTCTCATTTAAAATAAAAAAATTAAGCATTTAATTATTCTTATAGATACGGAGTACTATGTTGAAATTACTGGAATATTGCAAGTTACACCTTCACATTAAAAGAATCAAAATTGCATAATTAAATGTTTCATATTTAGATACAAACTATTTTATTAAACTTTAAATCCATTACAAAATTATATTGAAATTATATGTATAGTTATATACAAAGCGAAAGAGATGGAAACGATTTCTTCAATTGCAATCTCGAACTCTCAATAGTCCAATACCTTCAATGTTCTTACAAAATCCCGTAAACCTGATTAAGAAAAAAATCATTTTCCAAAACCATCAAAATAACTTATAAATTACATAATTTTCATTAAATAAATTGTAAAAAGAACTTAAAACAAACCATTACCTCACTATTACCTCACAGTAGATGAAGACAGAAGAAATGTAACTGAATAACCACCGCCTTTAATTTGATCTTTTGCATATTATCAGACGTTGTCCTTCCTTTTTGTATAATTCATGCAATTAGGCTTTAATTTCTACCAGATTGCAAGCATTTTACTATGTTCAAATTCAAACCCAGATCTGGTCAACTAAGATTGTAAGAGATCAATACTCATAAAGAAAAGAAAGTACAAAAAATTTGGGATAAATTGACGAGTAATTTTCACAGATTATAGTTTGTAAATCTTAAAATTTTGATTTTCTTCTTATTCATACCTTATACAAACTATTCATAAAATCATGCTGACAATTGATAAACCATAGATTCAAAATACCAATTATAAAAATAATAATTAAAAAAAACAAACATTGGAATTAGAAGAAATACGAGAACAAATAAACTTATAGATAACAAAAGATTGAAGTGGAAAAAACCCATATTTTTTGCACCACATATAAGAGAAAAATAAAAATAAAAAAAATTAAAAGGGGAAAACTTCTTACTAATCAAGCGTTCGAGAAATCAAAGAGCTTAATATCTGTAATTTTGTTCTCTTTCTTTTGCCATTCCTCTTTCCTTTTCTTTCTTCGTGACTGCTCGATTTGAATCGGTGTTGATTGGCTTGAAGGAAATGGTTAGGGTTTGAAGGAGGAGAGAGAAAGAGAGATAAGAAGAGAAGGGAAATCAAAAGGGGTAACTAGGTAAGAGTGAAGAGGAGAGAGGAGTTATTATAAAGAGAATGAGTTAGTGGCATATGTGGAAGCTCCAAAACATGAGACCCGCCTTAAAGTTAACAGGTCTCTCTATCAAAAATAGGAGATTGGTTATCTCAATAAGCGGTCTCTGGTTTATTTTAATAAATTTTTTTTTTTTTGAAAAAAAAACGCTAGAGACCTGTCATCTTAAATAAAAGGTCTCTCGAATATTTTAAACCCTCCTATAAATGAAGTTAGAGACCCGTTATTAATAATAAACGGTCTCTTGGACCAAAGAGACCGCTTACATAGATAAGCGGTCTTTTATATTGGGTCTCTTTGGCCAATTTTGTAGTACTGTTCCTTGCATCTTGAGTTTTCCTATTGCCATGAGCTTGCTCCAAAGGCTTCCTCCACCTTAGTAAATCACTAATATCATGACCCGAACCTCGTATAATACCTACAACCACGAAAATAGAGCAAATAAAGGAGAAAAGAGTAGAAAAACCAACAAAATGCATAAAATCTACAAAATAAGAGAGGAAAGGTAAAACCAAGACCAAATGCATAAAACTAAGCATTTATTAAGCATGAAAGCCATGAAAAGAAGGTAAAAAAAACCTAAATGCTCATCAAATGGGTGCCATTTATGACACCCATCAGATACCCCCAAGCTTACCTTTTGCTCGTCCTCGAGCAAAACAAAACCAAGGGAGAAATGATGAGCTTTTCCAAGCAAACAAAAAAAAAAGAGAAGAGGCATGAATATTCACTAACTCATTTTCGTAGGAATCACGGTCAATTTTAGCAACTAAAGACAAGCCATTTAAACCCCTAGATCGCCATAGAGGACGAGTGGTTCTCTCGTAAAGGTTTCCTAAGAGATTAACCTATAACTCTCGTAATAATACAAACAAGGCAAAGCGTGAAAAAGAAGCTAAAATAAAAGAAAAGCAAACAAATGTTCATGAAAGGACTTTTCCAAATGTACAAGCACAAATGAATGCAAATCTTTCTAAACAAGTAAGGGAGTGCACGTTTCAAGATACCCGAGGTTGATTGAAACAAAAATATGCTAAGCATAGGAACTAGAGAAACGCAATCTACTTTCATCCCAAACGGTCTTACCGCGCTCTCCCTACTAGTCTCATATCTTCCCCTGGTGAGCATCTCAAAAGTTCCACGAATAAACTGGAAAAAGAGATAATTTTGGACTACTCGACGTCTTGACAATGCATCCCCTCTCCTTAGGCTTTAACTCAAAATGCCCTCCCTCGGTATGTGACTAAACCACTAGGTCCAAAGGACTCTCCCAAAGGTTGTAACGAAAGGGAAAAAAGGGTGAGGGTAGGCTTAAAATTTGAAAGTTGGCGGTATTCCTAATTAGTGAAGCAAAGGGTGATCAAACCTTCTCCTCATAACCAGCAATCGCCAAACAAAAACAAACTAACACCCCCAAGCTTATTCAAATCTATAACAACAATCATATATACAAAAAAGCGTAAACGCTTCTCCTCAAGCTTAAAGGAAGCATTTTCTTCAATGCTTAAAAAGGGAAAAGAAATTACATCAAAATATTTTTAGTTTTCTTATTTTCATTTATTTTATTTTTCTTTTAATGCATACATTCAAAGCAATTATCCTCGCCTCTTTCAACTTTGGACGGCTTTTACAACTTTGCGTTTATTATGTCATTCCCTTTTTTTTTTTTTTTTTACTTTGGACGACTTTTTTCATTTATTCATTTGTCATTATTCACACAAATATCACAACATAAACTTTCTTTCAAGAGAACCAAATACCCAAACTCCTCCACCACAAACTCCAACAATAATGATCAATTGCTTCACAAAAACCAAGAACGGAAATGAAAATGAAACAAAAGGCTCAAGATCTAAGGATGTGGCTTGAAAAGAAGGGAAAAGGATCAAATGATTAGCAAAAAAGCAAATGTAAACCCAATGAACTAAAAAGAAAGAAAATTAACCTTGAAAAGAAAAATTACCACCCCGAAAAGATGCCTTTGTCCTCCCTAAATGGCTCGGTCTCGTGTTGGAGAATTATGAGTCAAGATTCTAGATTAGGTCCGCAATAGTCAAGGATCCATGCCGCTCATGCAATTACATGTTGAAGGCTTGAAAAACAAAGAACCTCACATGGATGTAGCAAAAACTCACTATTGGTGTCAAATCAACTATAGGGAGCAACTACCAACATGCCACAAACAAGTAGAATCCGGTTTCATGGTCTCACTAGTCCTATCAACTACCTTAGCATGCTTTATCCTACAATCAACCGAGCATACTCTCAAACCATGCACACCGTTACCATTTAAGAAGAAAAGCATTCAATTATACAAGTCCAAATGTATTATGTCCAAAGCAAGAACAAAACAAAGATACATTGCAAATTTGCCTTGATAGAAACAAAAATCTTTTTGGAGATTTTCAAAATAAGAACATGGAAAAGCATATACAAAGGTGCATATCATATATGAATCAACATCCCACCAAACATGATAGAATACCCTCCCCTTAGCTTGAATGAGACAATACACTCAAACATAAATCATATAATCCATGGAAGGAGAAAACAAGGAGATCAATCCAACCAACCAACCACCACATGTCCAACAAGTCTCCAACCAATAGAGAAAGAGCAAGGAAAGATATTACCGTATTTGAGGTGGGTGTAAATACCCGCAAATGACCCAATTAAAACTTTCAAAACTAATTTCCCAAGAATTGAACCTTGTTTCCATATGCTAGCAAAAATAGGAGTTAACCTTCCTTGATTCTTGATCCAAATTGAAGCACCAAAGTATATCAAGTCATGTACCTAGAAAAAGGCACACAAACATTTCCATGAGAGAAAATCTATTCTAAAAAGCAAATGAAAATCTAATCTAAAGAACGGGTTACTTCCCGAGAAAGGCTTGCTTAAGGTCCAAGCTTGACCACTCTAGAAAATAATAATTCAATGCACGCAAGAGCTTGTCAAATGCACCACTAATCATTTTATAAGAGAAAAGGTAGGCAAATGACAGGAAGAGGACGTGCAACAAGGATAGTGCACGTAAATAAGGAGAGAGATGCCAAGAAAAGGAAGAATAAGAATCAAAAGAAAATTCAACAAAATATGAAGAAAAGAAGAAAAAGAAGAAAAAGAAGGCAAACTCTCCTCAAAATATTTTTGGGTGGCAACATCACCCTTTTTCTCAATAATAGAATAAGGGACATTAAGATCATCATAGACAAGGGGGTCCCCAATAGGCTCATTGAGATAGGAAGGGAGAAAAATAGGGCAATAGGGGATGTGGTCAAACCTTTGAGAAAAAGGGGTATGAGAAATAGGCAAAGGGGTAGCTACTCCCTCAACACAAGGTCTCATATCACCAATGAGGGCATGAAAATCAATCATAGAGTCCTCAAATGAAGATATTTTACAATCTACATCTCCCTCAAGCTTAAAAACTCCAAAGGAATCAATCTCATCCTCCTATGAACCACAATAAACAACCTTTCCTTCAACCAACTCAAAACCTAAGTCCTTAAAACCGTGCATGATAGGAGGTAGAGTCATTGTAAACTCATCTAAATCCCAATAAGCTTTCTCGATGACCTCATCCAAAAATCTATAAATTTTCATATGACTCTCACAAAACAAATGGGACATTACCTTAAAAGAGTCTATGTATTCATAGTTTACAGGCTCACAAACATACACTTGAGGCTCATGAAGATGGAAAAGAGGGTTAGGATTTTCAAATTCAACTCTCTTTTCATTCTCAACCCTTTCACCATCACTCATATGCTCATAAAAGGTATCCTCACACTCTCTTGGTTGCTATAAAATATCATTATCATCCTTAACACACACATTAGATTTGAAATTTTCACACACAAGCATCAAAGATGACAATTAACTTTCCAACTCTTCTCTTCTTTTCAACTCTTCATTCAAAACATCCTCACGCTCTCTAATCTTCTCCATTTGGCTCCTTAAAATTTCTATCATTTGTCTCTCTAAGGGCCTAAGATTAGGATTCATCTCTAACTCCCTCAAAGATTCATCAATTTGGCTATAGGGGACCAAAGACTCATCACAAGAGTTTGGAGAATGAAAAGGTGAAGAGGTTTGAGGATCAAGAGTAGAAGAAGAGTCACAACCAAAGGTAGGATCATCATCATTACAAACATGAGAATTTTAATTAAATAGGGGAGTGGGGGCACAATAAATCATATGAGATTTGTCAACTTGAGAATGCACCTCATTATCATGAACAAAAGTGGAAATAGAATTGGAAGCATTTGTTCTAGGTTCAACTATGGGATCATGTGACACATCATGGGAAATCATGCTAGCATTAGAAGAATTAACACATTGCACATCAAAAATTGAAGCACGATTACTCTTATTATAGATTTCTCAAGCACACCAAACATAAAAATACCAAGCATCTTCGATAGAAAATGCTCTAAATCTACCATTATGCATTCCTTCAACTATATCCCTATTTTGTTCATTCAAACTAAAATATCAAAAATCACAAGCCTCCCAAAGACTACAACGATTATAGTAAAGAAATCCCTCAAGTCTATGGAAATATTCACCAAAAGGCTCATTATCATATTGAGGAAAAGATAGACATGCCATATTTTTTTTCACAAAACAAACAAAAATCAAATAAAAGAAAAGTATATACAAAGACCTATACTCAAGCAATCAAAAACACTCAAACATAGACACCGTTTCCTCGGCAACGACGCCATTTTGACGAGGGGTGGAACTAGGTCGTTGAAAATAATCCTCCCTCGTTCAAACTAAATTTATAAACACTTAACCAACCTAAATACTAGTATAGAGGCATGTCAAGATCGAACCCAAAGAAACGGTAATGTTCAAGCGCTCTCAATTATGCACCTAAGCTAGGTCAAAGTCTAAGGATAAAGAGAGAACACTAACAAACTACAAATAATGAAAACAAACAATTAAACACTAGGAACGAGGATTAACAAGTAATCATGACAATTGTAGCAACTGGGGAACAATATGAAAATCAATGGTTGTGAAGACTAATGCCAAGCTCAATCAAAAGAGTCAAAAAGCTATCTCCTAGAGGTCAAACTAGCGCCAACTACGAGAGACTCTAACTAGGAGCATCACTAATCAAACTCAATTGACAATTGCAATTCCTAAATCAATGGTCCGTATCATTAGAAACTACAATGCAATCTAGCA